GGAGTTATCGCAGAGACAAGAATAGTTTGGACTTTATGGATTAGAAAACAGATAAGTGGGGAAATGAATAGAAAGGAGACTGGGAATATCAGGGGAAAAGTGATGGAATGGGCTTGCTGAGGTAAAAATAAAGGAGAAATGCAGTGATAAACCTGTTAAATTTCATATATTAATTGGCTGTCCACAGAAGTACCTTTGGTATGTAGCTAGGATAGTTTCGAGCATCGTGTAGGGGAGAGGAGGAGTGGGTGGCATGGCTCATAGTGGGGAATCGTTCTCGAAACATCAGCTGTGCTTCCCAGACTTCAGGCAGGTGCCATCTTATCAGGTCCCTATACAACCTACACAATTATTCAAATGGACTTTAAAAGTAGTCTTGTCTTAGGCACCACTTCCATAAAATCAAAAGTTTTGATGTGTTAGATAGATATTTTTCCAGACAGAAAAATGGAGCTATGAAGGTATCCATCCTCGCACCACCTGAAATCATCTCACATTCCACTGTGGTCCTCACCCTATGCTCTGTGTCAAGATCACCGGTGTGGGAGAGCAAGAGTCAGCACAAAGAGCTAGGACTCCTGGGCTGACGTTCTCAGGAGACGTTGCTCTGAGGAGCTGGTGCCTTTCTCAAAGGATACTAGAGAAGAGATATTGAATCAAACAAGAGGTGACTCTAGGAACTGCAACACAGGCACGTCTACTGTCGTTGGCATACGAGAATCTGGGCTGTAGGAAATGACAGTCTAAGTCAGTGTTTTTGAAACTGTAAACCGTGACCCACTTATGGGTCATGAAATCAACAGAATGGGCCAGCTACTATAAAATCATAGCTTATTTAAAAATTAATTATAATAAAGGGCTGAGCATGGTGGTTCATACCTATAACCCCAGCTACTCTGGAGGCTGAGGTGGGAGGATTGCTTGAGTCCAGAAGTTTGAGGCTGCAATAAGCTGTGACTGTGCCACTGCACTCCACTCTGGGAGACAGAGCAAGACCCTGATTCTAAATATATATATATATAAATAGATTTTATTTATGTATTTACATTTATATGTATTTAAATGTATATAATATGTGCTATATAAATGTATATAATATATAAATATAAAATATATTTATACTTAAATATAATATATATTTATATATATAAATCAATTTGTATTACAGGTTGTTGAGGGTAAAGATTGTTTCAAAAGACTTGTCTTAATTATATGAATGTGAGTAGGGGCTCTAGATTTTTCCTTTTTATGACTATAGACTAGATAATAAAGAAATAGAATATACATCTTCTGATGCCTCTTGGCTGAAGGATTTAATCATATGTATAGGACATGAGTTAAAGAAAATGCTCTTTGTCAATAAATGTGCTCATTTCTTTTTACCAGAATAGAAAGTTGTGAGTTTCTATAAGTACTAAGTTAGGCCAGAGGGAAAGAATGACTGTACCAACTTTTGTCATGTTGGCTGGTGCTTTTAAAAGGTATATTGTGGGATGGGCATGGTGGCTCATGCCTATAATTCCAGTACTTTGGAAGGTTGAAATGGGAGGATTGCTTGAGTCCAGGAGTTCAAGACTAGCCTGGGAAGCATAGTGAGACCCTATTTCTTAAAAAATAAAAATAAAATAAAATAAAAATGCATATTTTTAATTCTACATATCTGGGGAACAATTCGGGCACACATACACATACTCATATGGGAATGACAAAGAATAATGACTACTTGGTCTTTCCACTTTTTTTTAAATAGCAAAATTTTATAAGAAAAATAATGTTGGTTTGTTTTTTTCCTGCTGAGAAGCGGGCAGTTAAGAAAACTTTACCTTTTGGGAATGGTTGTTAAGACTGGGGCTGGAGAAAGGGGAGAAGTTATGGTAATAAATCCTAACAAACCCAGCAGTCCCTGTGACCATGTTCCTAAAGGTCTTTGGATGACAGTATTGCTTTACAACAGTGGTATACACCTGTGAACTACACTAGTGGCTCTCGAAGTGTGGTCAGAGGGTAACTGAAAATTTTTCAGGGAGTCTACAGCGGGAAGCTTTTCATGCTAACACCCTGGTATCATTTGTTTTTTACCCACCATAGCTTTTGTCCCGTCAATGTCAACATGCCAAGGCAGGAGCACACTGTACTAGCCTTCTACTCTAGGGGAGAAAGCCAGTGTCACTTAAGAATGTCTTCTGACTTGCTGAGGCCCAGTTTTTAAACACAAATCTTGAGAATAAACACCTTCAGGTTGTTTCTGTTAGACCGAAGCATGTTATCCTTCTTTTTGATGAAAGGTGTTGGCTGTGGACTTGAAAAAAGTCATGTGGAAACCTAGCACTTTAAGATGTTTAGTGTAAGGATCTTCGTGATGAAATTTCTGTAAATGATGCAGTCTCAGGCTCAGTGTCTGAGGCTGGAAAAGGATCCTCTAGCAGCCACATTTGTAGCAGCTTCTCTGAAACAGGACCTGAAGTGGAATGTATCTCATGCATGCTATCTCCCAGTGATGCCAGATGGAATCAGCACAGCCCTGCCTCTGCTGCTAATTGCTAATGTCTATAAAGTAATCTCTCAAAAAGAGAATCATTTGAGCTATTTGCACTTCATCTTTAAAGAAATTTGAGTGATAGATCATCCCAGAAAACCTTTGGCAGTTAGTGAAATTAGGGTACAATTAAGAACACTCAGACTTCCAGTTTGGGTGATTTGTGTATAAGCTCATAAATTGACGGGACTGCAATGATTATAAATTGAAATTAAGCAGTTAACATGTCTATACTCTGTTGGGGGAGGTGAAGGGGAAACAGATACTTGTCCTAGAAAACCATTTCTCAGAGTGTAGTTCCTGTGAGGTCAGTGCTGGTCTTACATTTTGATGGACAAATAAAGATTTTTTCAGTTAAAAAAAGAATTGTCCTTGATGATGCAATCAAATGTATTCATTTTATTAAGTCTCAATTCTTGAGTATGTCTTTAATATTCTGTGTGATAAAACAAAAAAGTATGCATAAAACATTTCTGTTGCATATCAAAATATGATGGTATTCTTGAGGAAAATGTGTGCAATTGAACTGCTTTTTAAATAAAACCCTGAAAAACTGTGGTTTTAGATTTGGGTCTAAATAATCTATTTGGTAGACATTTTTCCAAAATGAATGAATTGAGCTTGCCACATCAAGGAAAACAACTGACATATTTGTTGTCAAAGATAAAATTTGAGTTTTCAAGAAAAAATTGGAATTTTGGAAACCTTATATCTGCCATAATAGCTTCCCAATACTTAGAGACTTCACCGGGGAGATCAGTGGTGTTGTTTTAAATGTTTTTTTGATGTTGTGTAATAAAACATATTCATATTTGGAAGATCTGCATAAGTTAGTGATCCAATATTTTCCAAATGACCAATGTATGACATTACAAAATAATGCATAGCTGAAAGAACCATCCAAAGTGCAAAACAGATGGCAGATTTTAACATAATAGACTCTATTAAATAGACTATAAAAAGTTCATTGATATGGTGTCAGGTTCCACACTGTGACTACCTTTAAGAAATTACAACTTGTCTTCCAGGTTCATCCATGTTGTCAAAAATGACATTACACTAAGTGCAAATAAGACAGGCACAGAAAGACAAATACCGCATGAGCTCACTAATATGTGGAATCTAAAAAAAATTGAATTCATAAAAGCAGAAAGTGGCATGGTGGTTACCAGTGGCTAGGGGAGAGGTGAATGAAGAAAGAGGAGATATTGGTCAAAGTATACAAAGCTTCAACTAGACAGGAGGAATACGTTCTAGTGATCAATCGCACAGCATGGTGACTGTAGTTAATGTATATTTCAGAATTGCTAGGTGTAGATTTTAAGTATTCTCACCACAAAGAAATAAGTATGTGAGGTCATGGATATGCTAATTTGCTTGATTCAATCATTCCACAATGTATACGTATAACATCACATTGTACTCCATAAATATACTGTATACAATTAGGTGTCCATTAAAAATAAAGACAAACAAACAACCCACCACCATTTGTCAAGAAGGCTATCCACAACTGACTGAAGAGGCAATTAAAAGACCTCTCCCTTTTCCAATTGCCTATCTGTGTGCTGCTGAATTTTCTTCAAGCACTTGAACCAAAGCAACATATGGTAACAGATTGAATGCAGACACATATATAAGAATCCCACTGTATTCTTTTAATCCAGATATTAAAAAGATTTGCCATCATGTAAAATAATGCTTCTCTTTCACTATTATTTTTGGAAGGAATTATTTTCCATAAAAATATATTTATGATAATAAGTAATGAGTTTATTAGGGATCTTTTTAGATAAACTAATATATGTTTTAAAACTCATTTTAATTTCTAATGTAGTAAATATTAATAGATTTCCCACACCCATAAAAGCCCCTTAGGTCTCAAAAATTGTGAGTATAAAGGAGTCCCGAGACCAACCAGTTTAAGAACTGTTGAACTAGCCAGGCTCGGTGGCTCAGCCTGTAATCCCGCGCCTTTGGGAGGCTGAGGTGAGTGGATTGCCAGAGCCCACGGGTTCGAGATCCGCCTGGGCAGCGAGATCTCATCTCTACAATAAATCAAAAAAATCAGCCGGGCGTGGTAATGCATGCCTGTAATTCCGGCCACTCGGAAGGCTGAGGCAGAAGGATCGCCGGAGCCCAGCAGGTGGCTGGGAGCGGCCACTGCACTCCAGTCTGGGCTACAGAGTGAGGATCCAACTCAAAAAACAAAACAAAAAACTGTTGAACTGCATACTAGCAAAACTTAAAGCTCAGAAATAACTCATATACTAGTAAAAGTTAAAGGAAATATTCCTTTCCTCTTTTTCTGAAGTTAGTGCCCTTAGATTTTGTTAGGTAAGCATTTCTTTTCTTTCTTTCTTTCTTTCTTTCTTTTTTTTTTTTAAGTTGGGGGTCTCACTCTGTTGCCCAGGTTGGAGTGCACTGGTACCATTATGGTCACCACAGCCTTGATCTCCTAGACTTAAGCAATCCTCCTGCCTCAGCCTCCCAAGTGGCTGGGGTTACAAGTGGGTGCCATGCTATTTTTTTATTTTTTATTTTTGCAGAGACGCAGTCTTTCTATGTTACCCAGGATGGTCTTGAACTCTTAGGCTCCAGGAATCCTCTTGTCTCAGCCTCTCAGAGTGCTGGGATTATAGGTAAAAGCTACCGCACCCTGCCTCTTTCCATTTTTATTGAGAAACTCACTTTGATTAGGAAAAGGAAAAAACTTTAATCATCACAGCAGAGCCCAGTACAACTATAACCCAAATTTATATTACCTTTTACATACCAAGAAGTCCTATTTCCTTTATCTCAACCATATCATTAGTCATTTTTTCAATGTGAAAAAATTACTAGGAAATTTGCTTGTTAAAAAAAAAAGACATTAGCTTTTTGCCTAGAAGCTTTTCCACATATGCTTTAAAGAGCAAGGTGTTATAGGCTATTCTAGTGTTGATTAATATGGCTTGAAACACCTTTAGTTCAAAAACAGGATAATATTTGTCCCCCAAAAGTGAGTTCTGGATAATTAACAAAATATACATAATTTAGTCACTCCCACCTACCAATAAGACAACCTGAACAACCTTGGACTACCAGGATTCTAAGCATGTTTAAGCAACACAATAGTTGGGCTGACAGGAGTGGGTTGGAAATTTTTTTTTTTTTTTTTTTAACTTTACAGACTTGTTACACTTCCTACTGCAGATGAGCATAATTATTTTGATCCTTTCATATAATGACAGAAATATCAAATTTTTGTTCCTTAAAAGAGATTGATCCCTACTTAAGTTGATAAATACCCTTGTATATGATATGATTTTACTTGTTTAAAAATTATCATTACTATTTTAGATATTTTAAACCATAGCGTTTTCAAGATGAGAATTTCTTTGTGTTTTAAAAATACTGGAGTTTTCTTTAAATGCTTTTTGGACAAACAAACCAATCATTTTGAAATAGTCATACAATGTCCATTTGCTGATAAGAGATATGCCAACAAGGGGTGCCTTTCTCCTACTTTGTCGTCAAAGAAATATGTCTAACAGGATGTCTAATGGGTGAGGACAAGGCTTACAACAGGACTGTCCTCTGGCCACCCCTTCCACACTGCAGCTTTCTTGTCCACTGGACACAAATCACTTAGCATCAGTTTCCTCTCTAACTCACACCTGCTAAACATCAAGCTTGTCTGAATTCCGACTCACTGATGTTAGTCATTTCTTTTATTATTATTATTTTAAGGAATTTTCTGATAATTACTTTTATTTGTTTTAAAAAAATTTTTTTTGTAAAGATGTAGGGTACAATTCATGTTAGTTACTTCCATTTTTCCTTATACTGATCAAGATCACCACTCTCAAATGCACTCTGCTCCCAAACCTTGCTCCCATCAGTCATACAGTTCTGATGTGTTATGTCAATATTCAAGGTTTAGCAGTATTATGATATGCAATTATCGACAGCTGAGCCAAACATATAGCATACTATAATTAACTCCTCTTTTCTCCTCTTCTCTCTCTCTCTCTCTTTTTTAAGAGTTGAGGTCTTACTCTGTTGCCCAGGCTGCAGTGCAGTGACACAATCATGGCTACCACAGCCTCAAACTCCTGGGTTCAGGCAATCCTTCTGCCTCAGCCTCCTGAGTAGCTGGGACAACAGGCGTGTACTCACTCGGCTTAACTAACTTTTCTTTTCGTGAAATTTTATTTTCCATGTGACTATCACAAAACCATCATAGAATTCTGCCAAAACCCACAAGTGGTCTGTGGGTTTGTTATTTTCTTGCTACAGCTCCCCAGGGCCTGCAGGTTCTCATTGCTCCAAACGATGGTCCCATGTTACTTCCTCCCACCGGCTTGGAATGCCCCCCTGCCCCGCGTGACACCTTCCCTGATTTCTGGGTCTTAATTTATGCACTTACCATGAAGGAACCTGCACTCCAGGAAGCTCCTGGAGACAGGTGTGCGGGAAGGTCCATTTTTTTGGGAACCTTGCATGTCTGAGAATGGCTTTCGTCGTATGCTCTGACAAATGACCAATTCTGAAACCATTTCCCCTCCACTTTGAAAGCGTGGCCCTGCCACCTTCCAGCTTCCTTTGTTCTGGACTCTGACACCATTTGGATACACAGTCATTTTTCTTAAGTAAACTTTTCCCCCACCTCTTCTCTGGAAACTTTTAAGACCACTGCTGTCTGAAATTTCGTGATGCTGTGTCTTGGTGTGGGTCTTTTTTTCTTTTCCTTGTTTTGTCTTTTCATTTCTTCTCAATTTACTTCCTTTTGTACTGGGTCTGATGGGCCATTAAGTCTGGACACTCGTGCCCATTATGTGTGGGACGTGACCTTGTCCTTTTCCTTCAACTCTTCCACTAGTCTTCCTTGTTCTCTGGACTCCTAGTATTTAGAGGTTAAACCTCTCCGACTGATCCTCACGTTTTCTTTCTTTTTAATCAATTATTATTTTTGCCTTTTGGTTCTACTTTCTGAGAGATGTGCTCAACTTCATCTTCCAATGCATGTATGTAGGGATATATATGTCTACTTATTTTCATAGTTTTGATTTTTTAATGTTTAAGAACGTCTGATTGCAGAATAATCCTTTTTTTAAAAATTATTTTTGTTTGGTTTTTGTTTTGTTTTGTTTTTTGAGTTGGAGTCTCACTCTGTCGCCCAGACTGGAGTGCAGTGGCCACTCCCGGCCACCGCAGCCTCGACCTGCTGGGCTCCGGCGATCCTTCCGCCTCAGCCTTCCGAGTAGCTGGAACTACAGGCGCACGCTACCATGCCCGGCTAAGTTTTTTTGATTTTATTGTAGAGATGAGGTCTCGCCAAGTTGCCCAGGCGGGTCTTGAACCTGCGAGCGCAGGCAATCCACTCACCTCTTATTAAAAAATAGCATCCTGCTCTGAATTCGCAGTTGCAGTACCTTTTACTTCCTTTATTGTTTCCTTAGATCCTTATTTATTTATTTATTTGAGTTGGAATCTTGCTCTGTCACCCAGGCCAGAGTGCAGTGACATGATTATGGCTCACTGCAGCCTTGACCTTCTGGGCTTAAGAGATCCTTCCTCCTCAGCCTTCTGTGTAGGTGGAACTACAGATGTGTGCCACTGCACTTGGCTAATTTTATGATTTTTATTTTTGTAGAGACAAAGTCATGCTATGTTGCCCAGGCTGGTCTCAAACTCCTGGGCTCAAGCAATCCTTCTGCCTTGACCACAGTTCATTTTTACTGTTTGCTTTTGTCTCTGTCTTTCACAGCGGAGGTTTCTCTCAAACTTTGGGTTTTCTGTGGCTGTGTATTTACTGAGGATGGCCTAAACAGCTAGGCTGAGAGTTCTGTAGGCATAGATGGCAGTTATTGGCTTGTGGGCTTCACTCAGTGTCATAAAAGTGGCAAGTCAGCATTTTCAGTATTTTCAGGTCTTTAAAGAGAAACTCTGCGTATCTCCTCACAGGGATAGCGCTGCCAACATTTTGGGATCCAGATGGGGACATAGGGGTTCAGGGACACTCACTAGTTTGTCTATAGGATTTTACTTTATCCTTGTTTTAAGAACCTATCCCTCAGTGCAAAAGCTCAAAAGCAAATTTATCTTCTTGTGAAGCCGAGGATCTGAGGTCTGTGAATTAACTTTCCAACAAACGCAAACCCTTGCCTGAGAGTAGCTGGTACCTTCAGACTGGAGTCCTAATGCCCCCATTTCAGTTAAGAGTGAGGTTTTCGGGCCATGCTTTTGTTAAGCTCTGGCCTGGCCATGCTTTTTGTGAGCTATGGTTGGGCCATGCTTTTTCCTAAGCTTTTGTTCCCTCCCTAACCTTGGGGAGGTGAATTTTCTCTCTCTCTTTCTCTCTAATCTACTTTCTAAATAAAGTATACTTTCTAATTTAAAAGAAAAAAGAGATTTTCAAAAAGAAGAATAATTAAAAATAGAAGCATTCACCAAAGGAAGCTTTGAACTATAGCGATGAAGTCTTTCTGGAGGCAAAGTGAAGTCAGTGAAGGAAAGTTGACAGCGTGAAAAAAGCCGTGCAATATGGCTGTAAACACCAAACCAAAGCTTCTTGAAGTTAGGTGGTTATTTACCTGAGGCTTTTGCTGACACCTTTTTGTTGTCTTGGGTTCTAAAACTGTGACTTAATCTTAGTATTCCATTCTGTTTTATAACTCTTCTACAAAAGAACGTAACTTGAAAGTTAAGTTTTGATTAGTGTTGTTTGCCCGCCTGTAGTATTCCTAAATAGTTTTTTGAGGTTTTTTAAAATTAACTACAAAATTTTTTTTCTCTCTCTCTCTTGCTCCTTTTTTTTTTTGAGTTGGGGGTCTCACTTTGTCACTGATGCTGGAGTGCAGTCTCATGATCATGGTTCATCAAAGCCTCAACCTCCCGAGCTCAGGTGATCCTTGTCACCCTTCCGAGTAGTTGGGACTACAGATATGCACCACCATTCCTGGCTAAAAGATTTTCTTAAAAGCTTTATTTTCCTCAGCAACCCAGGACATTGTCTCTTCTATCTCTTCCCTAACCTACACATCAGCTCCTTTTCAAGGAACCCTGGGACCTGTGTTCAGATTGCTCGTGTAGGCGCTTAGTTAAATACAGCATCGCAGGTTTCAGGAGCAGCCAGGAGAACAGAGATGACATGGACATTAGAGAAATGGATGGAACTAGGTAGGTATATAGCACTTTAGGTTTTAAAAGCAGAACATGTATCTAGTAGGAAAAGGAATTCACTTCAGATATCTGTAGTATAAAGAAATAGTAGTAGTGTTGTGTCTTGTCATTTTTCTCCTATGCTTTTACTATGCCCAGTCCAATGATGGAGAAAGTGCCAGTGACAGCAAATTGAGGCAAAGTACGGGAAGGGATGAAATGTCAAAGAAGCTCAGGATATGTTGTTGTTGATATCTCTCTTGAAAATGAAATATTCCCAAATTTAACCTGAGGAGGGTGGCCCAAATTACAGGTATTACTCAGGAAACATGCGAACAGATCATTATATTTTTATTTTTCTGCTTATTTGTTGTTTCCTTGGGTATTCTTCAGAAAGGACAATAGGTCAGGTACAGTGGCTCCCACCTGTAATTCCAGCACTCTGGGAGGCCAAGGCAGGAGAGTTGCTTGAACTCAGGAGTTTGAGACCAACCTAGGCAACATAACTCATCTCTACAAATGAATCAAAAGCTAAGTCAGGCATGGTGGTGCACCCCTGTAGTCCCAGCTGTTTGGGAGACGGAAGTGGAAGGATTACCTGAGCTCAGGATGTTAAGGCTGCGATGAGCCATGATTGTGCCGCTGCACTCCAGCCTGGGTGACAGAGTGAAACTCCAACTCGAAAATAGAAAAAAGGAACAACAATAGTTTCATCTTCCAAAAGGACCCAAAATCAGATCAGAGAGCACCATCTCCGGGCAGCCTGGCACTACCATTTTGGCCCATGAGTATGCTGCTAGGCACTGCGTTTTCCATTTGCCTCTTTGAAATAACCTATTAAACACTAACTGATTGCCCCTAAGAATCATGCGCCATCATTAATCACTCCCTGTTGCTGTGCCCTGTCACACCCATGCAAAATTGCTTGTGTGCCAAGCAGCTATGCAGACAAGAAACCTACAGCTGCTCGGCGGCTTGGTAGCCTCTCTTTGATTAGAACTTTCTCTCCAAGGGCAGTTTAGTAATGGTAAGGGATGTGGATTCTGGACACACTACTTGGGCTTGAGCAAAGGATTAAACTCCAGAACTGGCTACATGATTTGCCAGGCCCAGAGCAAAAAGAAAATGAGGGGCCCCTTGTTAAAAAATTTCAAGATGTCTCGTGCCTTTGGGAGGCTGAGGTGAGTGAATTGCCTGAGCCCGTGGGTTCGAGACCCGCCTGGGCAGCGAGACCTTATCTCTACAATAAATCAAAAAAATCAGCCGGGTGTGGTAGCGCATGCCTGTAATTCCGGCTACTTGGAAGGCTGAGGCAGAAGGATTGCCAGAGCCCAGCAGATGAGGCTGCGGTGGCCGGGTGCGGCCACTGCAGTCCAGTCTGGGTGACCGAGTGAGACTCCAACTCAAAAAAAAAAAAAAAATTTCAAGATGATGACAGTAGACCATTAAATCAAGAATGAAGCAGACCTAAACACAGGGCCCTGTGTGCCTGCATAATTACACATTCACAAAGCTGTCTGTGCCTCAGTTTACTCATCTGTGAAATGAGATCATAACCATACTTAACGCATAAGTGGTAAGGAATATGTGTTAGTTACATGTAAAGCACTTATAATCGTGCTTATTAGTAAGCCCTCAGTAAATTATTGTCACGTTCCACACAGCTTGCATCTTGAGTCAGACCCTCTTAACCATACCAACCGAATCTGGTAAAAATCCATTCAGTTATTTCTCTGTGATATGGTAACAGTCAAAAAGACAAACTTAACAATAAATTTCATTAACAGAAATCTGGCTGTTTCAGACCCTGAAATTTTTATCAATGAGTAAACTATGACAACTGAAAACTCAGTCTAATTTTTTATAACCTGAAATATTAGTAGTACTTAGTAACACTTAAAGCACTGAATATTGTGCTTTATTGTTGTAGTCAAGTTTAAAATATAAGAATATCATTGTTTAACATAGCCATAGAGAACTATAGATGTGCTATCTGATGAGTCAAGAAGAACTGGAATTAAACATTTTTAAAGGATTATACAAAATATGCTTTATGTCAATGAGAAAAACTAGAGTTTATTTCATAGGCAAGTATCTTATTCCATCAATATATGTTTTTAATCTAAGCATAAATCTTTGAAGGATTGGATCCATTTGTTAGGATCTAGGTAAAGGGATGCCAGTGTCTTGGCTAGCATGTGTGAATAAAGCAAAAATGTGTCTTCTCCTTTGATGTTGCTGTTTCCCAATTTAGAAATGGAAGATGATTTGACTGAATTGGATCAGTAGTCTGATTCAAGTAACATCACAGAATTCAATAGCACAAAGGTAAAATCTCTAAAGGGTATTCATTAGCTGTTACTGATTTTAACTGAGAGTTTGAAGAATATTCTCAAAGTCAAAACATGTGACCAGAACATATATAAAATGAAGAAAGCAAACAGTGCCTATGGGAATACAACATATTCTGAGCTCAAAGTTCATGTCTTTCCTCACTCAACAGTTCTGGCTTTGAATCCCAGCTGTGCCACATACCAGCCACAGGACTGTTCAGCACATCAGTCTCTGAAACTAATGTCAATGTGTGCCTGGTGCCGTTCTTGGCTCAGGTGAGGTGCCCATAAAAGCTGCTGTTGGTCTGGGGGTGGGGTGTGGGAGAGTGCCGTTTGGTAAAGTGCAAAGAACACGGATTTCAAAGGTAGGCCTCAATTTGAAACATGTCTCTACCATTTACCAATTATCAAATCTCAAGCAGATTTTACTCTTCTAAACCTTGGTTCTTAACATGCAAAATGGAAATAAAAATACCTCCTTTGCAGGGCTGGTATGAGAATTGAAACAGTGTGTGGCTGGCCCATATCAGGTATCAACAAGTGGGTTTAAATCCAAGTCCCTAATTTCATAATCTAGAAACCAGCCAGAAAAGACTAACTGATTTGGGCTGTGAGGACAGGATGATGGCAAAGCACCTGCATTTGCTTTAAGAAATCAAATGTGACAAATGCTTGTTTTTATCTGTAAGAAATGAAGAGCAAACACTATTGTATTCAGAGAATGGTGAAAAATTGTATTCCACAGATCCCAGAGTACCTATCAAGAGTTGCTCTCTGCATTCTCCAAGTCCATTGAAGATTATTTTAAGATAAAATGACATTTTCAAAAATCATTTACCACCAAATGTGCCTGATCTAATTCAGTATGGGGTGAGAACACATGCAGAAACAGTGTAAAATAGGCTTATCCCAAACACATTCATGAGGAACATGCTAGAAGATGCTTTTAAAACAACCTACATCTGCTACCACTAAGCATCTAGCAGAGTACAGTATAGGCATTCCATCAGGTTATTTCTGGTATAGATGAATGAGGAACCAGTTTATGTTATTTGACTACCGACCCTTTGTGGTAAAGGACTAAGTGTGAAATGAGGTACAAATCTCCTAATTATTGGCTGATGATGATCTTCTGAGTCAATTCAGAATTTAATTCATCAGGACTAGAAGAGAAAGGAATGATATATAGCTGATGGTCCCTGAATTTTGGGTACCATGTTGAGTTGCATAAAGATTCTGCTGACTGTCTTGAGTCATGGGAGGATTTGGTGGCTGAGCAATTAATCATGATCCAAACTAAGTTATTATAGTGCTGCTCGGGTAGAAACAAAATCTGACCTTCTTCTATGCACTCAACTACTCAACGAAATATATTTGTGAATGCAATTCTATCTTCTGACATTTGGTCTAGGAGGCTTATTTAAAGATCTGTCTCTTTAACTATGATTTTGCTTTGCATAGATTTTTTATTATTACATGTGTTTGTTTTATCCAGGCATGTCTTCCTGTTCTATTGCTGCTTCTGCGTTCTACCTCTATTTCTCAGAAAAATAAAAAATAGACTTTGCCTTGTTTAGGGGAGTCCATGGCTTGTACAGTTCTGCCATGTAAATCAGGGCAACAGGCTAAATGCTGACTATGCTCTGAGTCTATTGGTCTTCCAAGCCCTTGGCATTTGCTTTTACCTTGTAGAAAGGCAATGGACAAGGGTTTATGTTGGCTTTGAAGGATCTTTCTCTCACTCACACAGATATTCGAACTCAGGGGTCCTTGCATGGTCACTGAGGAGATGTGAAATGAATGTGTAGACTAAATGCAGTATATAGTTCATACCTAGAGGAAAAGAGCATTTCTCTTTAATTGACCATTTTTGAGATTGAACACGTGGGCAGGCAGAGTGAAAATGCAATCCAGTCTACCGACATGTGTCCTGGGAACAGAAATGATCACAGATTCTTGAGCTACCAAGACAAAGTCTCTATTTTGAAGATAATATCCTTGATTATTTCAGCATGGAGTGTTGTATACAACCTCTTGGGGGATACACTAGAAAAAATACTGAATAAATCAAGCATATATTTTCTTTTCTTTTTTTTCCCCAAATTCAACACACATTTATTGAGTGTGCTATGTACCAGGTACTATTATTATTGGTGTTAAGCAAAGGATGTAAACGACAAAATTCAACAGGTAAACAAATACATGGCAAGTAATTCAACTTCATAAGTATCAAAGAATATGCATATATTTTCTTTTCTTTTTTTTCCCCAAATTCAACACACATTTATTGAGTGTGCTATGTACCAGGTACTATTATTATTGGTGTTAAGCAAAGGATGTAAACGACAAAATTCAACAGGTAAACAAATACATGGCAAGTAATTCAACTTCATAAGTATCAAAGAATATGCATATATTTTCTTTTCTTTTCTTTTCTTTTTGAGTTGGAGTCTCACTCTGTCACCCAGACTGGAGTGCAGTAGCCTCTCCCGGCCACCGCAGCCTCGACCTGCTGGGGTCCGGCGATCCTTCTGCCTCAGCCTTCCAAGTAGCTGGAACTACAGTCGTGCACTACCACGCCCGGCTCATTTTGATTTATTGTAGAGATGTGGTCTCACCAAGTTACCCAGGCGGTTCTCAAGCCTGTGAGCTCAGGCAATCCACTCACCTCAGCCTCCCAAAGGAGCGGGATTACAGGCTGAGCCACCGAGCCTGGCTGCATATATTTTCTACTAGCTGTGTCTGAACACATCAAACATGCCTCATAAAAAATTGTTTCTAAGGCCATACGCGGTGGCTCATGCCTGTAATCCCAGTGTTTTGGGAGGCCAAGGCAGGAGGGTAGCTTGAGCCCTGGAATTTGAGACCAGCCTGGGCAACACAGTGAGACCTCATCTCTACAAAAAATAAAAAAATTAACTAGGCATGGTGGCGTGTGCCTGTAGTCCCATCTGTTCAGGAGGCTGAAGTGGAAGGATCATCTGAGCACAGGAGGTCGAGGCTGCAGAGAGCCCTGGTTGCACCACTGCACCCCAGACTGGACAACAGAGTGAGATCCCAACTCAAAAAAAAAAAAAAAAAAGGTTTCTACAATTCATTCCTACATTCTGGAAAAAAAATAAACCACACTGATACTACATCCCAATGCTAGTATCATTAATCTGGGTAATGAATACATAGGTTGGTATTCAGAGATTCCCTCAAACCAATCTTTAATTGCTAGACATAATAAAAGTGAAAGGCCTGATTCAAGTTCAGGAATGGGGACAGGGAAAAACTCCTTTCTTTCAGTCTCCTGCTTTCCCATATTCTCAAATTGGCAGCTGAGTCTCGGGCAGGTAAATGGCTCCAAAACTCTTACGGCTTCAGTACCGCATACTCAGTTTCTTAAACAAATTTGATTGCCAGTAAGTGAATCCATTGAAGTTGCACTATTTTTTATCCAAATATCGATACGATCTCTATCCAATGGCTTTGGGTATGTCATAAATGTTCTCTAAGCTATATGCAATGCTTGTTATTTATTAGGCCTACTGGTTTGCTTTATAATTTGAATTGTATAAAGTAATAGTTAATACTGTGTGTCTACTATATTATATGAAAATGAGACTTTAAGAAACTGACATTCTTCTAACAACCAAACTGCTTTGAAGACAGGAGCCTGATTATAATATTAAGTGAAAACCTAAGTTGCTAAACAGTTCTACCAGGGTCCACATTTGTTACCTATTTCTACATTTTTGTATAAAGGAACAACACAGGCTGAGCAAAAATGATGCACCACATTTTAACCATTTTTCTCAAAGTAGTGGCATGGCAGGAAGTTTTCATTTTCATCTTTATGTCTTTCCTTTTAGAATCAGAGGAATGCCATTTAAAAAAAGTTTTAATTGTGGCAAAATACACATAGTATAATTTACCATCTTAGTAATTTAAAAATGTATCATCAATAGCATTAAGTACACTCACATTGTTGTGCAACCCATCTCCAGAACTTTCTTATCTTAGAGGAAGGTTACTTTTTAAAGAACCAAATCTGCAGATGTATCTAGTTTTAAAAAGTAATGTATCTAGTTTTAAAAAGTAATGGCCTAATCAGATGACACCACAATAATTGAACAGCCTTACCAATTTGTGAAAGAACTAAT